GGACTTTAAGAGACAAAACAGATGAACATAAGGGAAGGGAAACAAAAATAGTATAAAAATGGGGAGGGGGACAAAACAGAAGAGACTCATAAATATGGAGAACAAACAGAGGGTTGCTGGAGGAGATGTGGGAGGAGGGACGGGCTAAATGGGTAAGGGGCACTAAGGAATCTACTCCTGAAATCATTGTTGCACTATATGCTCACTAATTTGGATGTAAATTAAAAAAAAATAAAATTAAAAAACAAACAAACAAAAACGACAGCTGTGGTTTAGCACCAGCTAGGCTGATTTCTTCAAAGGTACTGCAAAGCTGGAGAAAAATGATTTGGGGATTGTGGCAGCCAAAAAGGCGCACTCCCAGATCTCCCTCGGAGGAAGACTGTGTTCTTTGCAGAAAGGCATGCAGTTAGGTGATAGTCTCCAGATGTAATGCTCCAGCTTCTGAGCCAAGACCACACTTCTGCCTGGAAGCCCCGAGGCAATGGCTGAGCAGGGTGGACCTGATGTTTCAGCCTAATCTGACTACCTAATGGGAGATCTTTGCTCCAGAGCTCTCTGTTGGGTCCTTGCTGAGACCTTGCCAGACCTGCAGTCAGGCTCTCCCTTCTCCATGCTGCTTCCCTTCCTCCCTTTCACAGGCATGCAAATGCATCATGGGCTGAAGAGTGCTCCTTCCTGCTTCTTCCTCTTTCCTCTTTCATAGATATTATCCCCCAGTGAACCTCTTGCACTCTTAACTCCAGAGCTGTCCCTGGTTCCTGGAAGACCTGGGCTGACACAGGGTTTTTCTAAGGGTTGAGTTATTTGTGCCAACTGTGCAGAAAATGGAGAGAAGACTATAATCCCTTTGATTTCTGGGTCCTTTAGATTTCTTTTGAGCCACCATTTGTCACCATCAGGAATGTGGTCAGAAATGACCCCAAACACAACTCGTATCCATAGAGGCAGTGACTCTTTCAGAAGCCCCTCTCCTGCCCAGCCAGGGGATGGAGCATGTAGATCCGGTGACTGGAAACCAGTGGATCTAGTTTCCTGGACTAGCTCCAGAAGGTGCCTGCTCTGTGGCCTCCACCTCTCTGATCCTCACTGGGGTGTAGTGTGGCCTAGCGGGGAGCTCAGACCTGGATGAAATGAAGTTCCAGCTCCACCCCTGAGGTACCAGCACCAGAAGAGACTGAGCCCCTGTCACCCACCTTGGGTTGCAGCCGTTCTCCCTCCATCAGAAACTCAGCACTGCCCTTGGACACAGTTGCCAACCCTTTCACCAGTCTGTGGCACACGTTCGGTCCAATTCCAAAGCTATAGCACCTGGGAGAAGGGGAGGAGAGAGGCTGCTACTTCTGGTCCTCTGTGCCACCTTTGTCCCTTTGGTGGGGAAAGGGACAGAGCATGAGCCGGCAGAGCTATCTCAGAGCTGGTCCTAACATCAGGCAGAGGGTGTAGGTGAAGGAAGAGGGCCAGCAGCAGGCACTCACATTCACAATAGCCCATCAACCCCCACCCCAGGACAGAGTCAAAGCAGCAGGAAGGACTTCCTCTGACAAAGCTGCCCTTTGGAAGCAGAGGTGTGGGCATCTCATTCCATCTGAACTCTTGAGGCAAAAAGGCAAACTCTGAAGTCAGCTACACCACCCTGGACGCAAAGCACTGTAGGAATTGGGAGTTCTCTCCTCCCCTTCTGGCACTTTCCATGATGCCCTGGTTCAGCCACCCCCAGCCCAGGGCCACCCAGGATAACCAAGCCCTAGACCTTCAGCCTGTGCCCACCTGGTGGAGAAGGCATGGTTTCGCACCAGTTCTAGCACCTTCCCGGTGTTGTTGATGGCACCGTCCGTGATCAGGAAGAGAATCCGTGGGTGGCCTCGGTGCACTGGCTGCCGGATGATCCACTTGAGCGGGGAGAGGATATTGGTGCCACCCATGTCGGCCCGCATTCTCTGGATGTTATCACAGGCCATGGCCACGCTCTCCTGCAGGGAAGTGCCACAGGCAGGGAAGGTAGTCCCCAGGATCACCATATGGCTCTGAAACTCCAAGCCCCCTGGAGGATAAGCCCTTTGTTTCCCTAGATCTTAGTTGGGTCTCGCTGGATTGACTCATATTCCCAATTTCAACCCTGTCTGTGCACAGGAGGAATAGATGGCGACTCATTTGGGGTGATTCTGCCCAATAACACCCCCTACCAGTGCCCTAATGCTGTTGATGGTGTGTTCACTTACCTTTGTGCTTTCTTTGTTCCTCATTAAAAATATAAACACCCCTTAAAAGGTAGCACATCAAGCCCCAACTGCTCAGCACAAATGAGGTGTCCTTTTCTGATGAGCAAGGCAGGAGGTGTAGTGATATAAGAACATTACACTAGAAATCTCAAGACTTGAGTCCTGGCCTGCCTGGGATGCTAACTCCCTATGGTGCTTTGAGGAAATCAAAGTACCCCGACGTGGGCTTCAGATCCCCCTTCCCCTGGATCAATACTGTGAAACTCAACTGGCCAAGGACTGCTGTATCAGATGGATGTCACTGCAGCAGGAACAGATTCTCACTGGACATCAGATGTCCTGCTCCCGATTCACGAAGATGCTTTTTCAACCCCCATGATTGGGGTAACGGCATATAGCAAAAGTGTTGAAATGTATATGTCCCTTTTGAACCAACAGAACTAAGGATTTATCCTAAGGGAATCATTAAGGATGGGTACAAAGTCTTTGCTACAAAGATGACTGAATAGAAAAATAAATAGAAGCAATTTAAATGCCCAACTGTAGGGATCTAGTTAAGTAAGTCCCGATTTACCTGTGTAGTGAAATACTAGGCAGCCATTTACATTATGCTGCAGATTAATATTTACTGGCACGGAAATATGCTTATGATAGGCTGTTGTGTTGTGGCAGGTCTAATCCTATCTTTATTAAAAATGTGTGTAAATACATAGAACAAGGTCTGGCAGGCTTTATACTAAGCCTATAACAGTGGACTTTCTTTCTTCTTTTTTTTTTGTGATGTGATCATGGGAGATTTAAATTTTTTTCTTTTTGATTATCCAGATTTAGAAATTGTGGGACAATCAATATATAATTTTTAAAAAATATTTTAAAAACCCATAAAGTTATTTTTCACTCAAAAATGTTCTTCCTTCCTCTCTTCTCTCCCTCCCTTACTTTCTTTCTTCCTGTTCCTAGGTCTGGATAGGATATGCTCCAATTTTGAACATGCTGCTGGGGCCCCAGCCCTCTTGTTCTAAATTGTAGTTTGAACCTTGTGAGTTCTATTCTTAGCCCACCTCCCCACCTATTCACTCCACAATCCCCTTTCCATTCCCTCCTTTAGCTCAACCTTGCATGGGTCCATCGTTCTCTTGAAACAGAGGCTTCAGTGAGTGGCAGGCCTAGGATATATCTTATCTCCACCCCTTCCTTGTATCCCCTCTTTGTGCACACCTACACTTTGCCTAAAATATTCCTTATTTTATCAACATTTATTTATTTTTGGGACAGAGAGAGACAGAGCATGAATGGGGGACGGGCAGAGAGAGAGGGAGATACAGAATCGGAAACAGGCTCCAGGCTCTGAGCCATCAGCCCAGAGCCTGACGCGGGGCTCGAACTCACGGACTGCGAGATCGTGACCTGGCTGAAGTCGGACGCTTAACCGACTGCGCCACCCAGGCGCCCCAAAATATTCCTTATTTTAAAGAGGAGACAGGGTGCCTGGGTGGCTCAGTCAG